TTTCTACAGGAGATGGTACCTTGGTCACAGTAGCTGGTCAAGGAGACATCAAGATAAATTCAAATATTACTTTAAAGAATGTGCTTCATATACCATGTTTAACTATTAATTTGATATCGGTAAAGAATTTGATCAAATTTGATATCGGTATCTCTTTATCACTTGGTTCGGTCCAGCTAGTTCGGCTCCTTTAGGCTCGGTTCAATTCGTTGTTGGACTGGTTCATCGCTTTTCGGTCCGATTCAGTTCATTGTTGGATCGTTTCGACAAGTTTAAGTTCGTTTCAGTCAAATTTGGTTCAGTTCGGAATATTTTGGTTYGATTCAACTGTTTTTTATTCGGTTCAGCCTTCTTTCGGTTCGGTTCAGTGCTGATTTTTCAGTTTTGGATCTCCATTTTTGAGTTGYTGTTTAGTCTTGATATCAATGTCACAATCGTCCAAAATTACAAAAAAGTTGGACATAAATGAGATCAAACGATTAAGGAGCTTCTTAAAAACTTTGGATAATGCTTCTAGTCAAGGTACAGGTTCGGTAACTTTGACGAGTACAACTTCTCAGCCTAAACGTTGTACCTGGATTATTGATTCTGGTGCAACAGACCATATGACGAATAGTAGCTGTCATTTTATCTCTTATARTATTTGTCYGAGCAATAAGAAAATTTCTACAGGAGATGGTACCTTGGTCACAGTAGCTGGTCAAGGAGACATCAAGATAAATTCAAATATTACTTTAAAGAATGTGCTTCATATACCACGTTTAACTATTAATTTGATATCGGTAAAGAATTTGATCAAAGATTTAGGTTGCAGAGTAATTTTTTCTGATTCTTCTTGTATTTTACAAGATCAGGGCAATGAGAAGATTATTGGACTTGCTAATGAAAAAGATGGACTTTATTATCTTAATGAATTTGTCAGTCAGACTAGTGTTCCTGTTGAATTAGTTAGAAGTTAAGATTATGTGGACTTAGTTAGAAGTTGTTTTAAAATTGTTTAGATTTTGTGTTTAAATTTAGCAAATAAATCTCCTTTTTTGTTAGGGAAGTTAGGAGGTTATTCCTAGACTTTGTTTCCTCTTGTAACCTATAAATAGTGTTTCTATTCCTCATCTTTGATCAATCAATTTGAGAATTTATTTCTTCTTCTCGTGTATGTTTATCTGGTGTCTCTATCCTTAGTTTTTATGGTATCAAAGCTAGGTTTAGATTGACAGAATGGTTAAAACAGCCATGATGACTGATGTGCGCAAGGATGAGAGTTCCGACGGATCGACTACGACCTCAATTTCTCTCCCTAAAAGCACATCCACGACACCTCACATCTCTATCTCTGAAAACACTTCGCTCCAAATTACCTCTCCAAAACTCAACGGAAAAAATTGTCTGCAATGGTCTCGATCGGCCCTCCTAGTTATTCGTGGCCACAGTCGACTCGGGTACATCAATGGCACGATAGCAGAACCAGATGAAGCTTACCTTTATTTTTCCGTGTGGGATGCACAAAACTCAATGGTCATGGCATGGCTCATTAACTCGATGGAGGACATTAAAGAATCCTTCATCTTCTACTCAACAGCAAAGGATCTTTGGAATGCGCTCACTATGGCTTTTTCTGATTTTGATAACTCGGCCCAATTGTTTGAATTACGCAATAAGGCACGTTCCTTACGACAAGGTGAATCCGATGTCACCCAATACTACAGCTCATTACGTAGGTTGTGGGCTGAACTTGATTTATGTCTCAATCTCGAATGGGAGAACTCGAAGGATGCTGAACGCTTTCGCAAACACATCGAGAAGGAACGAATTTATGATTTTCTTGCAGGTCTTCGTCCGGAATTAGATGATGTGCGTGGCCGCTTACTTGCCAAAAATCCAGTCCCAGCCATTGACGAAATCTCCGCAGAAGTTCGCTGGGAGTCAAGCCGTAAACGTGTGATGATGGGTGATACACCCACAAAACCTTTGTCCCTCTCACTGGAATCATCAGCTCTGGCAGCACAAGGTCCACCACCACCTTCATCCCGATCTACTCGTCGGAACAACCTTTGGTGTGATCATTGTAAGCGCACAAACCATACAAAAGATCGGTGTTGGGAACTCCATGGTCGTCCTCAACGGAAGAATTTATAAGGGGATTATCGGCCACCTCCACCTACAAATACTCCACCTTCTCGAACCAACTCCTCCGGCAATCAAGTGGGCCCTAGTGTGTCAAACTCCCAAGATTTGGCCACCTCTCTCCCTCCATTTTCGAAGGCACAACTTGAACAGCTCTATCGCATCTTAACACTGCCGGTTGAGTCTACTCCTTCGTCAAGTTTTGTGGCACAACGAGGTATTTCTAGTGCAGCTTTAACAAGTCAGCAGCATTCCGATCAGTGGATCTTAGATTCGGGTGCAACTGATCATATGACCGCTTTTCATGATATGTTTACCATGTACTCACCCAACCCGATTCAGACACATGTCAAGCTTGCAGATGGGTCATCGGCCATTATTAAGGGCTTTGGTTCTGTTATTCTTAGCCCAAACATTACATTGCACTTAGTGCTCCATATGCCTAAATTATGTTGCAATCTAATTTCTGTTCAGAAGTTGACTCATGATTTAAAGTGTCAAGCCCTGTTCACTGACTCTAAGTGTTTTTTTCAGGACTTGATAACGAGAACGACGATTGGCAATGTTGATGGCTTTAAAGGGCTCTACTACTTCAGAGGACCAAGTCTAAGAAATAAACAAGTTCTCCAGGTTGGTAGTGAGTCGAATTCTAGGGAACAACAAATTCTACTTTTACATCGCCATTTAGGGCACCCGAGTTTTCAGTATCTTAAACATTTGTACCCTTCACTTTTTCATAAAGATGACCTTTTTACTTGCGAAGTGTCAACTTGCAAAACACTCTCGTACATCTTATCCTTCTGTTGAGTATATACCATTCAGTCCATTCACAATGATTCATAGTGATTTATAGGGGCCGTCTCGCATCAAAACTATGTCCGGTAAACGTTGGTTCCTTACCTTCACTGATGACCACACTAGGGTTTGTTGGGTCTATTTACTTAAAGAAAAATCAGAAAGTACATCAATCTTTCAACAGTTTCATTCTCTCATTCATAATC